TTCCAGTCTCTTTTCATGTATCATCATGCATATTGATCAATTATAATATAGATGGGTCTATAAAAGATGAGGTGAATCATAGTTGTGCTGTGGGGGAAAAATGTGAGTGATGCACTGGGGAGTCTGTGGAGACAAAGTACTTTGTCCATGGAAGTAAAGAGGGGAATATATGAGAGTATAATTGTGCAAAAGCTCTTATATGGGTGTGAAACATGGGTGATGAATGTTGCAGCGAGGAGAAGGCTGGAGGCAGTGGAGATGTCATGTCTGAGAGCAATGTGTGGTGTGAATATAATGCAGAAATTCGTAGTTTGGAAATTAGGAGGAGGTGTGGGATTACCAAAACTATTATCCAGAGGGCTTATGAAGGGTTGTTGAGATGGTTTGGACATGTAGAGAGGATGGAACTAAATAGAATGACTTCAGGAATGTATAATTCTGTAGTGGTGAGAAGGCGGGGTAGGGGTCGACCTAGGAGAGATTGAAGGGAGGGGGTAAAGGAGATTTTGTGGGCAAAGGGCTTGGACTTCAAGGAAGCATGTACGAGCGTGTTAGATAGGAGAGAATGGAGACAAATGGCTTTTAGGACTTGACGTGCTGTTGGAGTGTAAGCAAGGTAACATTTATGAACGGATTCAGGGAAATCGGAAGAAGACTGGACTTGAGTCCTGGAGATGGGAAGTACAATGTCTGTATTCTGAAGGATGTGTGATAATGTTGCAGTATTATAACTGCAGTGTAAGAGCGCCTCTGGCAAGACAGTGATGGAGTGAATAATGATGAAAGTTTTTCTTTCTCGGGTCGAAGTGTTAATAATATATATACATTATATATATATATAAATATATATATATATATATATATATATATATATATATATATATATATATAAATATATATATATATATATATACAATATATATATATATATATATATATATATATATATATATATATATATATATATATATATATATATATATATATATATATATATATATATATATATATAATATTATATATATATATATATATATATATATTATATATATATATATATATATATTATATATATATATATATATTATATATTATATATATATATATATATATATATTATATATATATATATATATATATATATTTATATATATATATATATATATATATATATATAGATCTATAACATTATATATAAATAATATAAAACTTATAATTATTTGCACGTCGTCCAGTTCCCACCCAGCGTGATGACTCAAAAAACAACAATTATCACAGCTCTTTCATAGCGCTCAGATATGGCATTTTGATGCCACTTCAAACAGCCAACTTCCCGAATCTTTTAGCGAAAGGCATTAACCTTCACACCTCCAGACTCAGTTCGCTAACGGTTTCCCTGAATCTTTTCACAAATATTACCTTCTAAACACTCCAATCGCTGTCAGGTCCCCAAAAAACTTCGTTCTCCACTCACGCTCTCCCATTCACTCCTATCTACACACTCACAATGCCTGCTGCATGTCAGTTTCCCTTTGCCACAACCTCTTCTCTCCCTCTACCCTCCACCCTTCCTTGACGAACCCTACACTCCACTAATTTTACACCCTCCAATTCATTTTATTTTTACCAATCCTCTCTAAATCATCAAATCACTCAATTACCCTCTCCTCTTCACCCCCATCTGAAGAATAAATTTTCGTAACTCCACACCTAATTTTTCCACACTAATCTCTTCTAATATTTACACCACATGCTTAGACCATGAACATCACTGCTTCGCCTCATCTCGCTGCAGCATTTACAACCCATGCTTCACATCCATATAAAAGTTTTGGTACCATTATACTTTCGTACATTACCTTCTTTGATTCCATGGATAACTTTTTATTTGTCTCCACATATAGCTCAAAGCACCACTCACGCTTCTTCCTTCAGCAATTCTATGGTTAACCTCGTCCTTCATAAACCCGTCTGTTGACAAATCTACTCCCAAATATCTGAACTCATTCACTTGTTCCATACTCCCTCCCTCCAATGTGATATACAATTTTTTTTTTTGTGTGTGTATATTAGTTTTACAACTGTCCTTTGACAGACTGGTGATAAAGTTGCCAAGTTGCTCGGCACAGAAGGTGAGGACTTGTACAGGAACCTTACTAAGCCCAAGATCAAGGTCGGCGCTGAGTTCGTAGCCAAGGGTATGAACGTGGATCAGTGCTATTACTCCGTCGGTGCCCTGGCCAAGGGTCTCTTCGATCGTGTCTTCAAGTTCCTGGTGGCCAAGTGTAACCAGACTCTGGAGACTGGCCTGAAGCGTGCATCCTTCATTGGTGTGCTCGATATTGCTGGTTTCGAGATCTTCGATGTAAGCATCTTGCAATATACTACTTGTATAGAAACATATACTCGCTATCTATTTTTTTTCATAACTTCTACAATCATTAATTTTATATTTATTAAACTGTAAAATGATTCATATGAAACAAATTTTTTTGAATTAGTGTAGAATCCCATAACACTGATTTATCTAGGAAGAAAGCAAAATATAAAGCTAATAGTTTTCTGGCTATTGTAGGGTGACAGTATGTTCACTTTTTTAAGATTTATTTTCTTCCCAAAAGTACAACGGCTTCGAGCAGATCTGTATCAACTTCTGTAACGAGAAGCTGCAGCAGTTCTTCAACCATCACATGTTTGTGCTGGAGCAGGAAGAGTACAAGAGGGAAGGCATCAACTGGGTCTTCGTGGACTTCGGTATGGATCTGCAAGCCTGCATTGAGCTCTTCGAGAAGGTAAATAACTCATTACTACACGATGTACCGAGTACTGCATAAAATTAAAAACAATCTGATCGTTTTCTTACGAACCGGTACCTTGATGATGGTGAAGGTTCTTCATCCTAGAAATAAGAGCTACTGTCCCCTTAGTTAAAATAATAATAATAATGATAAAGTAAACTATTATTTTTGCTAGCATTAAAAGTTTGCTCTTTCAACAGAAAATGGGTCTGCTCTCCATCCTAGAGGAAGAGTCCATGTTCCCCAAGGCTACTGACAAGACCTTCCAGGATAAGTTGAACGCCAACCATCTTGGCAAGTCCCCAGTGTTCATTAAGCCTAAGCCACCAAAGGCTGGTCAAGTTGAGGGCCACTTCGCCATCGTTCACTACGCTGGTACTGTCACTTACAACTTGACTGGCTGGCTGGAGAAGAACAAGGATCCCCTCAACGACACTGTCGTCGACCAGCTCAAGAAGTCAAACAACGAACTTGTCGTCACTATCTTCCTTGACCATCCCGGACAATCTGGTGGTGGTGACGCTAAAGGTATGAAGAGTAATCTCCTTCTAGTTACTTTGCAAAACTCTTAATTAAAGAGACGATGTGTCACGGGAAGATGAATTTTATTTTCTCTGAAAAAATAAGGTTTGCATATACTTAACAAATGCTAAACATGATAGAAAATAACAAAAAACAGAATGTGATTGTTTATCTAATGAAACAATGAGTAGCGGGACGAAGAGAGGAATTTTCTGAGATAAGTAAAGCATTTACCCAATACGTATATTTAAAGTAGTAATGTATATTTTATATTCTCGTGAATTTAATTACAATCATGTTTTTAAATTTATTATGTTAGCATCAGATCACGTTTAGCTCATCAAATAAAGTAAAAAGTTTACCTATGTTAACATGTTCCTCGGATATTAACAGTGTAGAACGTATAGACAATTACTTTTTAAATCTCTAATTATGAGTAATTAATGATCCGTGTAATTACAATGTGTATTAACATAAATAATTTTACAATACAGGTGGTCGTGGTGCGAAATCTGGCTCCTTCAAGACTGTGTCATCTGGATACAGGGTAAGTTTATTTATCTGGAGACCAAGTCAATGCATTTTTAAAAAAGCTACTTTGCAGTACTTTTTATATCTAAAACATAACTAATACTATACATAAATGAGCCATAAACTTTTGTTAATAGTTTTTATATTAAAAAAAATGCGCTGTTTATCATTTGAAAGTATTAATCAATAGAGTGTTATTAACTGTTTTGGTACGGTATGGGTGGGGATGGAACTCGCGGATAGTGGCTTAAGCACTGGCCTCGACTTCAATCCCCACCCGTACCGTAGTTTGTTTGCAACTGTGTCATTACAATTTCGTGAGCCACTATCAAATAGATTGTTATCTAACTTACGGGATGTTTTCTCTCACAGGACCAGCTGAACAACCTGATGAAGACTCTGAACTCCACCCACCCTCACTTCATCCGTTGCATCGTCCCCAACGAGACCAAGACTCCTGGTAAGTAATGCTATCCTAGTAACACAGTAACTTTCGTCCTCAACGAGATCAAGACTCCTGGTAAGCAATGCTATCCTAGTAACACAGTAACTTTCGCCCCCAACGAGATCAAGACTCCTGGTAAGCAATGCTATCCTAGTAACACAGTAACTTTCGCCCCCAACGAGATCAAGACTCCTGGTAAGCAATGCTATCCTAGTAACACAGTAACTTTCGCCCCCAACGAGACCAAGACTCCTGGTAAGCAATGCTATCCTAGTAACACAGTAACTTTCGTCCCCAACGAGACCAAGACTCCTAGTAAGCAATGCTATCCTAGTAACACAGTAACTTTCGTCCCCAACGAGACCAAGACTCCTGGTAAGCAATGCTATCCTAGTAACACAGTAACTTTCGTCCTCAACGAGACCAAGACTCCTGGTAAGTAATGCTATCCTAGTAACACAGTAACTTTCGTCCTCAACGAGACCAAGACTCCTGGTAAGTAATGCTATCCTAGTAACAGTAACTTTCGTCCTCAACGAGACCAAGACTCCTGGTAAGTAATGCTATCCTAGTAACAGTAACTTTCGTCCTCAACGAGACCAAGACTCCTGGTAAGTAATGCTATCCTAGTAACACAGTAACTTTCGCCCCCAACGAGACCAAGACTCCTGGTAAGTAACTATCCTAGTAACACAGTAACTTTCGCCCCCAACGAGACCAAGACTCCTGGTAAGTAACTATCCTAGTAACACAGTACTTTCGCCCCAACGAGACCAAGACTCCTGTAAGTAACTATCCTAGTAACACAGTTAACTTTATCGCCCCCAACGAGACCAAGACTCCTGTAAGTCACTATCTATAACAAGTACTTTTACATTTCAGATATTCATTCTCCTTCAACAACTGATATTAGTAAAACAAAGTTATCACTGTAATATTTTTGTTTTACGTTCTTGGCAACGAATAACCTAATTAAATATAATTTTACTGAAAACGTATGTATCATTAGTATGATCTACATCATCTCCAAAAACCCATGTAATACCATTAATTAATTAATGTATTGGTTAAATAAATAAAAACTAGCGGCATAAATTTGTTGTACTGGAGAAAGTATTTTGTCTTTTTTAACTGCAGCCATCTGTTAAATTCTAAATTTTTACTACGTTTTTCTTTTTTTTAGGATCAATTATTATTTCAGCTTGCAATTAGACTGCAATTTTTTCTTGCTCAGGTAAGACTGAGGCTGGTTTGATCATGCATCAGCTGACCTGTAACGGTGTACTTGAGGGCATTAGGATCTGTCGCAAAGGCTTCCCTAACAGGATGTTGTACCCTGACTTCAAGCACCGGTAAGAAGTTTGATAAATACATAAGAGAACAATTGTTTAGATTTTAAGTACTAGTAAAAATTACTATAAAAGATAACTGGTAAAAATATTTTAAAACATTTTTCAGAATTTATTATCATGTTGCTTACTCAATATATTTTTTCTCAGCTACAAGATCCTGGCTTCCCAGGAGATGTCAGCCATCCCTGACGACAAGAAGGCAGCCAAGGCTTGCTTTGACAAGGCTGGTCTGGACGAAGAGCTCTACCGCCTCGGCAACACCAAGGTAAGTGCTATTTAAGATTATGTGCTAACACCATATGGAGTATCCATTCTGAGTTATGTTACAGCTTCCTGTTTATAAGTCTGTACAGCCAATAGCCATGCCATTCTTACTATCGTGCTGAAACTATAGAGAAACGAGACGTGGAAAGTCGCTATATTAAATATATATAACACAATCAAACCAACTTAAGTCTAATTCACATACGACAGGTATTCTTCCGCGCTGGTGTCTTGGGTACCCTGGAGGAGATCCGTGAAGAACGTGTTTCAAAGATGACCTCCTGGCTGCAGGCTTGGATTCGAGGCTTCAAGAGCCGTAAGTACTACAAGAAGCTCCAAGATCAACGTGTTGCTCTTATTGTCGTCCAACGCAACCTAAGAAAGTACAAGAAGATGCAGGGATGGCCATGGTACAAGTTCTGGAACATGATCAAGCCCCGTCTTAATGTCACTCGTATTGATGATGAGATTAACGCCCTCGAAAGTCAAGCTGAAAAGTGTACTGCAGAATATGAGAAAGAGTTGAAGGCGCGCCAGGCACTGGAAGTTACGTACCAGGCTCTTCTAGATGAAAAGAACACTCTGGCTTCTGCTCTTGAGTCAAGCAAAGGCGGCATGTCTGAGTTCTATGAGAAGACAGCCAAACTTGAAGGTCAAAAGGCAGATCTTGAAGCTCAGTTGAATGTAAGTATTTATGTGTATATAAACCAGTGAGGGTCTTTCAGTGCTGCTGCAATCACGCTGAATTCTTTTCATAATACTGCCGGATTTTTTCTTAAAATTTTTGCATAAAACAAAGTTTGATAATTGACTCAAGATTACGTTTTCTATGTACTGTTTCTGGTTTGCTAATTATTTTAGTAATTTTAAAAATTTAACCAACTGGCAATATAAATTCTTTAGAATTTCTTTTTCTTTTGATCTGTCTTTTGTTGAATTTCGGCAACAGTATTACTGGTTTCTTACGCCTTTTTAGGAAGTTACTGAACGTCTGCGTAAGGAAGAAGAAGCCCGTAATCAACTCAACCAAGGAAAGAGGAAGACCGAACAGGAGCTTTCAAACCTGAAGAAGGATCTTGAGGCTATCGAAGCAGCGCTTCAGAAGACTGAGCAAGACAAGGCCACGAAAGATCAACAGATTCAAACTCTTAATGAGGAAGTCGCTCACCAGGAAGAGCTTATTAACAAGGTCAACAAGGAGAAGAAGCAACTCCAAGAAGGCAATCAGAAGACTGCTGAGGATTATCAGAGCATTGAAGATAAGTGCAATCATTACACAAACCTGAAGTCAAAACTCGAACAAACCCTGGACGAACTCGAGGATTCTCTTGAGCGAGAAAAGAAACTGCGCAGTGACGTCGAGAAGGCAAAGAGGAAGGTTGAAGGCGACCTTAAACTTACCCAGGAAGCCATCTCTGATCTGGAACGAAACCACAAAGACCTTGAAAGTACAATCCACCGCAAGGACAAGGAATATTCTGCTCTGATTGCTAAGGTTGAAGAGGAGCAGGGTCAGTATCTCAAGATACAGAGGCAAATCAGAGAACAACAAAGCCGCATCGAGGAGCTTGAAGGAGAGGTTGAGCACGAGCACCAAGCCCGCGCTAAGGTTGAAAAGTCTAAAGTGAGTCTTGCTCGAGAGCTTTCAGAGCTTGGAGACCGTCTGGATGAAGCCGGTGGAGCCACAGCTGGCCAGATCGAGCTGAATAAGAAACGAGAAACTGAACTGGCTAAGCTTCGTCATGATCTTGAGGAAGTCAACTTGCACCATGACTCTGCAGTCAGTCTTCTTCGCAAAAAGCATAATGATGCCATCACGGAATTGTCAGAACAGATCGAACATCTCAACAAGATGAAGGCCAGGTGAGAAATTTCTACCTTCAAAAGTTAATAACCAGGGAATTGTGTTCTACTGTTAAAATTAAACTGAAATGCAATCATTTATAACTAGTATTTTAGAAAAATATAAATCAAGAAGCCAAGTATATTTACATGCAAAAATTTAAATCAACAACTAAATTAAAAAAAAAAAGAGACACCACATTTAAAAAAAGACTTAATATTTTTCCCAATGAATATATATATATATATATATATATATATAATATATATATATAATATATATATATATATATATATATATATATATATATATATATTATATATATATTTATATATATATAATATATATATATATATAATATATATATATATATATATATATACATTTATATAGTTTTAACACTTCGGCCGTCTCCCACCGAGGTATGGTGCCCCAACAATGAAGACAGCACTTTCACTGTCACTCATTACATTCTCTGTCTTTCAAGAAGTGCGCGTACATCACAGTTCAGATGAGCCTCCAAACCACAACATCCCCATCCCTCCTTCAAAGTGCAGGCAGTGTACTTACAATATCCAGCACTCAACACCAGCTAATCAATTTCCTTGAATCCCTTCACTAATGTTATCTTGCTCATACTCCAACGACACCTCAAATTATGAGAGGAAAAAAAACTTGCTTACATTCCTTTTGGATGCCCCAACCCTCTGCGCCTTCCCTCCAATCACTCGTAGTACAAGAATGGTATACAATACCGACAAGATGAAATTAAGACACATGTGCAACATCTGGGTATCTTTATTGTAGACGTTTCGCCATCCAGTGGCTTTATCAATACAAATTCCAGGACATAACTTGAAGATATTAGAACTATGTACAGAAGATGAGGTAATCAGTCCCTCAACCTAGGAGTAGGTGCAAAGAGCACCGTTGTCGTGGAGAATCTCCACGACAACTGGATGGCAAAACGTCTACAATAAAGATACCCAGATGTTGCACATGTGTCTTAATTTCACCTCCAATCACTCCAAGGACGACCGCCATACCATCCCTCTCCCCAGATTTACACGTCCTTCTGGTAATCTAATTTCTCTTAATCTCTAAATATCTAAACTATCTCAAGAGCCCCTCCTCAACCCTCTGCATAATAATTTTGTTAAGCCCACACCTTATCTCCAAACTCCGAATTCCCTGCATATTTACACCACACTTTGCCCCGCTCAAACACTACATCTCTACTGCCTCCAGCCTCCTCTTCGCTGCAACGTTCAAAAAATATGCTTTTCACCTAGATTATTTTAAAAAGTAGCGAGATCATTTAAAAAGTTGCCTCAGTTTTACAACGAGTGCTCGACAATATACGTACTTCTCAACAGGATGGAGAAGGATAAGGATACTCTCAAACGTGATGCCGAGGATGCTAAAGCCGCTTACGATTCTATTTTCCGTGATAAGGTACGTTTAAAGAGTTTTTAATTAAAATTGATTAGCTTCAAAATCTGTCTCTCAGAGCTCAAAATGTTTCCAATGATGTAAACTAAATGTACACAAATCAGACACTCTCGATTTGTTACAGAGTAAATTTCCTCCTAAAATCAGACACTCTCGATTTGTTACAGAGTAAATTTCCACCTTAAATAAGACACTCTCGATATATTACAGAGTAAAGTTCCTCCTTAAATACAAGAGGGTAATATTAAATTTTTATGAAAAATTATTCATTTACTAGTATAAGATTTCCTTTAAAATAAAACACATTATTACCTTATTAAAATTTGGAACGAAAAAAAAATATTACATAAACTATCTCACAAAGTAAAATTTAACTCATCATTTTGTTTCAATATGTTAAATTTTCGTGGCTGTCACACTGCTAATGTCAACCAAAGAGTAGAAAGGAAACATGTAAGTTATTTTAACGTTATCAGAACGCAGCGGAGAAGACTGCCAAGCAGCTTCAACAGCAGGCGGCGGAGATTCACGCTAGGATTGACGAGTCCAACCGAACCCTCAGCGAGTATGATGCCACCAAGAAAAAACTTGCCACTGAGAATGCAGATCTTGTGCGCCAGTTGGAGGAAGCTGAGAGCCAGATTGGTCAGCTATCCAAGCTCAAGCTGTCTCTCACTAATCAGCTTGAGGACAACCGTAAACTCGCTGACGAAGAAAGCAGGGTAAGTGTTCAAATTACACACACACACACACACACACACATATATATATATATATATATATATATATATATATATATATATATATATATATAATATATATATATATATATATATATGTATGTATATATATATATATATATATATATATATATATATATATATATATATATATATATATATATATATATATATATATATATATATCACTTATATGTTATAAAAATATATTAAACTATTTAATCATAGTTATAGATTAACTTGCCATCGTCAGTAATCACACATGTGCTATATCCCGCAGGAGCGTGCAACTCTTCTTGGTAAATATCGCAATCTTGAGCACGACATTCAGAGCCTTCGCGAACAACTTGATGTTGAGAGCGAAGCTAAGGCCGACGTCCAGCGCCTGCTGTCTAAGGCTAATGCTGATGCACAAGTGTGGCGCTCGAAATATGAATCTGAGGGTGTTGCCCGTGCCGAAGAGCTTGAAGCTGCTCGTTTGAAGCTTGCTGCCCGTCTAGATGAAGCCGAATCACAGATTGATCAGTTGAATGTCAGAAATTTGAGCCTTGAGAAGTCCAAGCAGAAGTTGTTCGCGGACTACGAAGAGGCCCAAATTGCTGCTGAGCGTGCTCAAACCCTGGCTGCAGCCACCGAAAAGAAGCAGAGGAACTTTGATAAGATCATCGCTGAATGGAAACTGAAGGTTGATGACCTTGCTGCTGATCTTGATGCTTCTCAAAAGGAGTGCCGCAACTATTCCTCTGAGCACTTCCGTATTAAGGCTGCTTATGAGGAAAATCTGGAACATTATGACTCTGCCCGTCGTGAAAACAAGAATCTTTCTGATGAGATCAAGGACTTGCTGGACCAGGTAACAGAAGGTGGTCGATCATACCACGAGCTGGAAAAGACTTTCAAGAGGCTGGAAGTTGATAAGGAAGAACTACAGGCTGCTCTTGAAGAAGCTGAAGCCGCCCTTGAACAAGAAGAGAATAAGGTACTTCGTGGCCAGCTAGAGCTCAGTCAAGTTAGGCAGGAGATTGACAGGCGTATCCAAGAGAAGGAGGAAGAGTTTGACAACACCCGGTACGTACAAAATTATTTCAACCTTTTTAAGATAATACCACTGATATTTTTAAGGTAAACTAAAACGTTTTGGTATGTATCTAACTGGTAAATACACCTATTTTCAGTAAATGCCACCAACAAGCCATGGATTCCATGCAAGCTTCTCTTGAATCCGAAGCTAAGGCAAAGGCTGAGGCACTTCGTGTGAAGAAGAAGCTCGAGTCGGACATCAACGAGCTCGAGATTGCTCTTGATCATTCCAATAAGGCATACGTTGATCTGCAAAAGAGCCTCAAGAAGCTCCAAAACGAGTATAAGGATACCCAGCTGAGGGTTGAGGAAGAACAAAGGGTTGCTTCTGAGTACCGTGAACAGTACGGTATTTCTGAACGCCGTGCTAATGCTATTCACGGCGAGCTAGAGGAAACTCGTACTCTTATTGAGCAATCAGATCGCGGACGTCGTCAAGCCGAGACTGAAGTTCATGAAGCTCGTGAACAGCATTCCTCGCTCTACGAGCAGTACAACAGCTTGACCCTTGCAAAGAGGAAGCTTGAGAGTGAAACTCAGACTCTCCAGGTAAGTTTATTTACTCACAATAATAACAGTGATAATAATAAAAATAATAATGGTGATAATAATAATAATAATAATAATAATAATAATAATAATAATAATAATAATAATAATAATAATAATAACAATAATAATAATAATAATAATAACAATGAAATAACACTATAATTCATTTCCTGAAAGAAAAGAAAGTTTATATTCATTATGTATTTTAAAACAGGCTGACTATGAAGAGATGCTGAACGAGGCCAAGAACTCCGAGGACAAGGCTAAGAAGGCCATGGTTGACGCCGCTCGCCTGGCTGATGAACTCCGCGCTGAGCAGGAACACGCTCAGAACCTGGAAAAGATTCGCAAGGGACTGGAAGTTTCTTACAAGGGACTCCAAGTCAAACTTGAGGAGAGCCAGACTACAGCGCAGAAAACAGTGAAGAAATCCCTGGGTAAGCTGGAACTCCGTGTCCGCGAGCTGGAAAGTCAGCTGGACGATGAGTCTCGCCGTCACTCTGATGCCCAGAAGAACCTGAGGAAGTGTGAGAGGCGCATCAAGGAGCTCACCTTCCAGTCCGACGAGGACAAGAAGAACCACGACAAGATGCAGGACCTTGTTGACAAGCTGCAACAGAAGATCAAGACCTACAAGCGCCAGATCGAGGAGGCTGAGGAAATCGCCGCTCTCAACTTGGCTAAATACCGCAAGGTCCAGCAGGAGTTGGAAGGTAGTGCTTAATTCACCTGTACACTACGTTATTTATACTTAAATAAAGCAGTGGTGTGAGCATTAGAAAACACTATATACAATATATGCATTATACTTTATGGGCGGCAAAACTGGAATAACTGGAATAATACAGTAGCACATTATATAATGTACACGCTTATTTTGTCAAGGTTGCTCACATACTTATTTGTATATTAAATATATAAAAAACAACACTATTATAAAAAGAGGAGAGAACTAATGAATGTCATATGTTGCTACAAGTGATGCTCTTATTGCAGGTGTGACAACAGTAGTGAGCCAGAGTTCTCACAGTTCTATCGTCCGCTCACATGTTGTTCAGATCTTTGAAGGGTAAATTAAAACCAATGTTATAATGAAAAACTTATCTGTTGATGTAAAATCTAGTCTCTGCCATCTTAAAAATGTTCAACTGCTAATCCTGGGATCACTTAGCTAAAGATAAGCAAGTGATGTGGGAAGACATAACATTGGCACTTCTAACAAGGCTGTACAGAACATCAAAATAAAGAATGTAAAATCCTATAAACTTGCGTCTGCTCACCTCCTCTCTGGTTGCCGTTCTTGTTATGTCTCTTGAAGAGTTAAGTTAATAAATATTTTGAAGTGTAAATGTTTTTCAGTGAATATACTCGTATATATTAAAGAACATTTATAGACAAAGAAATGTATATATGGAAGTATTAGTTGGGTGTTGATTCTCCAGAGTTCTTCCACAACGTTACTACAAACACGGAGAATTACAATAAACAGGGAGAACTGCAACAAACAGGGAGAGCTATCACAAACACGGAGAACTACCACAAACACGGAGAACTACAACAAACAGGAAGAACTACCACAAACTGGAAGAACTACCACAAACATTGAGAACTACAACAAACAGGGAGAACTACCACAAACTGGAAGAACTACACCACAAACAGGGAGAACTACAACAAACAGGGAGAACTACCACAAACTGGAAGAACTACCACAAACATTGAGAACTACAACAAACAGGGAGAACTACCACAAACTGGAAGAACTACACCACAAACAGGGAGAACTACAACAAACAGGGAGAACTACCACAAACTGGAAGAACTACACCACAAACAGGGAGAACTACAACAAACAGGGAGAACTACCACAAACAGGGAGAACTACAACAAACAGGGAGAACTACCACAAACAGGGAGAACTACAACAAACAGGGAGAACTACCACAAACAGGGAGAACTACAACAAACAGGGAGAACTACCACAAACTGGAAGAACTACCACAAACAGGGAGAACTACCACAAACTGGAAGAACTACCACAAAAAGTGAGAACTACCACAAACAGAGAACTAAAACAGGGAAAACTACCATAAATATTAAACACCAACAGTAAATACTAACACAAACAGTAAATACTAACACATACAGTAAACACTAACACAAACAGTAAACACTAACACAACCAGTAAGCACTAACACAAAACAGTAAACACTAACACGAACAGTAAACACTAACACAACAGTAAACACTAACACGAACAGTAAACACTAACAAACAGTAAACACTAACAAACAGTAAACACTAACACAAACAGTAAACACTAACACAACCAGTAAACACTAACACGAACAGTAACACTAACACAAACAGTAAACACTAACACAAACAGTAACTACTAACACAAACAGTAAACACTAACACAAAGAGTAAACACTAACACGAACAGCAAACACTAACACAACAGTAAACACTAACACAAACAGTAAACACTAACACGAACAGTAAAGACTAACACGAACAGTAAACACTAACACAAACAGTAAACACTAACACTAACAGTAAACACGAACACAAACAGTAAACACTAACACAAACAGTAAACACTAACAGTAAACACTAACACAAACAGTAAAACATAACACAAACGGTAAACACTAACATAAACAGTAACACTAACACACAAACAGTAAACACTAACAAACAGTAAACATTAACACAACAGTAAACACTACAACAGTAAACACTAACACAAACAGTAAGCACTAACACAAACAGTAAACATTAACACAAACAGTAAACACTAACAAACAGTAAACACTAACACAAATAGTAAACACTAACACAAACAGTAAACATTAACAGTAAACACTAACACAAACAGTAAACATTAACAGTAAACACTAACACAAACAGTAAACGCTAACACAAACAGTAAACACTAACACAAACAGCAAACACTAAAAAACAGTAAACACTAACAAACATTAAACACTAACAAACAGTAAACACTAACAAACAGTAAACACTAACAAACAGTAAACACTAACAAAAACAGTAAACACTAACACAAACAGTAAACACTAACACAAACAGTAAACACTAACACAAACAGTAAACACTAACACAAACAGTAAACACTAACAAACAGTAAACACTAACACAAACAGTAAACACTAACACAAACAGTAAACACTAACACAAACAGTAAACACTAACACAAACAGCAAACACTAACACAAACAACGAACACAAACAGTAAACACTAACACAAACAGTAAACACTAACAAACAGTAAACACTAACACAAACAGTAAACACCAACACAAACAGTAAACACTAACACAAACCAGTAAACACTAACACAAACAGTAAACACTAACACAAACAGTAAACACTAACAAACAGTAAACACTAACACAAACAGTAAACACTAACACAAACAGTAAACACTAACACAAACAGTAAACACTAACACAAAACAGTAAACACTAACACAAACAGCAAACACTAACACAAACAACGAACACAAACAGTAAACACTAACAAACAGTAAACACTAACACAAACAGTAAACACTAACACAAACAGTAAACACTAACACAAACAGTAAACACTAACACAAACAGTAAACACTAACACAAACAGTAAATAGTATAAAACAGCAAGCAGCGTTATGATAGTACTATGATAAACAGTAATATACAGGGTTGACACTCACATGAACACAAGAATTGCCGCCTCTTCCCTCTTACTGCAGATAGAGACTACCATCACGCACCGGGATGTGTGTGTGTGTGTGTGTGTGTGTGTGTGTGTGTGTGTGTGTGTGTGTGTGTGTGTGTGTGTGTGTGTGTGTGTGTGTGTGCGTGCGTGCGTGTGTGTGTGTGTGTGTGTGTGTGTGTGTGTGTGCGTGCGTGCGTGCGTGCGTGCGTGTGTGTGTGTGTGTGTGTGTGTGTGTGTGTGTGTGTGTGTGTGTGTGTGTGTGTGTGTGTGTGTGTGCGTGCGTCCGTGCGTGTGGGGTGTGTGTGTGTGTGTGTGTGTGTGTGTGGGGTGTGCGTGTGCGTGTGTGTGTGTGTGTGTGTGTGTGTGTGTGTGTGTGTGTGTGTTGTGTGTGTGTGTGTGTGTGTGTGTGTGGGGTGTGTGTGTGCGTGTGTGTGTGTGTGTGTGTACTCACCTAATTGTACTCACCTAATTGTGGTTGCAGGGGTCGAGACTCAGCTCCTGGCCCCGCCTCTTCACTGATCGCTACTGGATCCTCTCTCTCTCTGCTTCCTGAGCTTTGTCATACCTCTTCTTAAAACTATGTATGGTTCCTGCCTCCACTACTTCACTTGCTAGGCTTTTCCACTTGCTAACAACTCTATGACTGAAGAAATACTTCCTAACATCCCTGTGACTCGTCTGTGTCTTAAGCTTCCAGTTGTGACCCCTTGTCCCTGTGACCCCTTGTCCCTGTGTCCCCTCTCTGGAACATCCTATCTCTGTCCACCTTGTCTATTCCCCGCAGTATCTTGTATGTCGTTATCATGTCTCCCCTGACCCTTCTGTCCTCCAGTGTCGTCAGTCCGATTTCCCTTAACCTTTCCTCGTACGACATTCCCTTGAGCTCTGGGAATAGCCTTGTTGCAAACCTTCGTACTTTCTCTAACTTCTTGACGTGCTTGACCAGGTGTGGGTTCCAGACTGGTGCTGCATACTCCAGTATGGGCCTAACATACACAGTGTACAGTGTCTTGAACGATTCCTTATTAAGGTATCGGAACGCTATTCTCAGGTTTGCCAGGCGCCCGTATGCTGCAGCGGTTATTTGGTTGATGTGTGCCTCCGGTGATGTGCTCGGTGTTATGGTCACCCCAAGGTCTTTCTCCCTGAGTGAGGTCTGTAGTCTTTGTCCACCTAGCCTATACTCTGTCTGCGGTCTTCTTTGCCCTCCCCAATCTTCATGACTTTGCATTTGGCTGGATTGAATTCGAGAAGCCAGTTGCTGGACCACATGTCCAGCCTGTCCAGGTCTCTTTGCAGTCCTGCTCATCCTCGTCCGATTTAATTCTTCTCATCAACTTCACGTCATCTGCGAACAGGGACACTTCAGAGTCTATTCCTTCCATTTATGTCGTTCACATATATCAAAATAGCACTGGTCCTAGAACTGACCCCTGTGGGACCCCGCTCGTAACAGGCGCCCAATGTGATACCTCTTCACGTACCATGACTCGTTGCTGCCTCCCTGTCAGGTATTCCCTTATCCATTGCAGTGCCCTCCCTTTTACGTGCGCCTGATCCTCCAGCTTCTGCACTAATCTCTTGTGGGGAACTGTGTCAAAGGCCTTCCTGCAGTCTAGGAAAACGCAATCTACCCACCCCTCTCTCTCGTGTCTTACTTTATTACCTTGTCATAAAACTCCAGGAGGTTTGTGATACAAGATTTGCCTTCCATGAACCCATGCTGGTTTTCATTTATAATCTTGTTCCTTTCCAGGTGTTCGACCACTCTCCTCCTGATAATCTTCTCCATGACTTTGCACACAATACATGTCAGAGACACAGGTCTGTAGTTTAGTGCCTCGTTTCTGTTTCCTTTCTTAAATATGGGGACTACATTAGCTGTCTTCCATTTCTCAGGTAGTTGCCCAGTTTCAAGGGATGTGTTGAAGATTGTGGTTAGAGGCACGCACAGCATCTCTGCTCCTTCTCTAAGGACCCATGGGGAGATGTTGTCCGGTCCCCATCGCCTTTGAGGTGTCAAGGTCACTTAAGAGCTTCTTCACCTCCTCCTCAGTTGTTCGTATGTCATCCAACACTTGTTGGTATATTCCCTCTTGATGTTCCCTTCTGTGCTGTCTTCCCACAGCCCTTCCTGTCTCTACTGTAAAAACTTCCTTAAATCTCCTGTTCAGCTCCTCACATACCTCCTGATCATTTCTTGTGAGTTCTCCACCTTCTGTCCTTAATCTGATCACCTGGTCTTTGACTGTTGTCTTCCTCCTGATGTGGCTATACAACAGTTTCGGGTCAGTCTTGATTCTCGATGCTGTCATTTTCATACTGTCGCTGGGCCTCCCTCCTTACCTGTGCGTACTCATTCCTGGCTCTGCGACTGATCTCCCTATTTTCGTGTGTTCTCTGCCCTTCTGTACTTTTTCCATTCTCTATTGCACTTTGTTTTTGCCTCCTTACACCGTCGGGTAAACCAGTGGCTCGTTCTGGTCTTCCCGTTGTTACTGTTGCCCTTGGGAATAAACCTTTCCACTGCCTCCTTGCATATTTGTTGTTACATGTTCCATCATTTCATTTACTGGCTTTCCTGCCAGTTCTCTGTCCCACTGGACCTCCCGCAGGAAGTTCTTC